CCTTCGCTACAAGTCTAGCTTTATATCTCTCAATAGAGCCATCAGATTTGTACTTCACAGTGAAGACCCATTTACATCCCACTGTTTTCTTTCCTGTAGGCAAGTTTACCAATTCCTACGTGCCATTTTTTTCAAGAGCCCTCATTTTTTCTTTAACAGCTTCTCTCCACTCTGGAATAGATAGAGCCTCCTATATAGAATTTGGAATTTCGACACTGGAAAGATTAGTGGTAAAAGCTCTATAGGATGGTGATAATTTTTTATACGAAACAAATCTAGAGATAGGACGAAGGGTGCATGATCGAATTCCTTTTCTAAGGGCAATTGGCAAATCTAGATCAAATTCATTATTAAGCATAGAAGTAGACTCGAAGGGGAGATTACCTGAATCAGAATTTTGAGTCACTGTCTGAGGTTCGGATTCTTGGCGATGCTGAGGTGGTGGTTGCTCTATTACTTGTTGATTATTTCGTCGAGTGTAAACCAGTAGCTCTTGTTCATTCGGCTGCTGAAGTTCTCCCCCTATCTAAGAATTTTCACATGTTAATGGCATAGTAGGATTAGGAGGAGAACGCGGAGGTTGATCTGGTTGAGATGGGGTTGAGTTAGGTATAGAAATATCCCAAAACTGATCTTCCGAAATATGTTGCTCCCTCTGAAGATCAGTTTTTGAAAAAAATGACTGGTTCTCAAAAAAGGTGACATCCATGGAGGTGAGAAATTTCCTTTTTTCTGGAGAATAACATCTGTACCCCTTTTGAGTAGGAGAGTATCCTACAAACATACATTTTATGGCTCTTGGATCAAGCTTGCCACGGTTATGGCTATGTATATGGACGAAAGCAGTGCAACCAAACACTTTGAGAGGTAATTTGCTAATGAAACGTATATGAGGATAGGCTTCAATCAAGGAGTTGAGGGGAGTTTGATAATTTAGGACTCTAGTGGGCATACGGTTTATGAGATAAGAGGCAGTGAGAATTGCTTCTCCCCAAAAAGTTTTTTTCATATTTGAGGTGAACATGATAGACCGAGCCACTTCCAGGAGATGGCGGTTTTTTCTTTCAGAGAGGCCATTTTGTTGGGGGGTATCCACACATGAGCTTTGATGAATAATGCCATGTTTGTTAAGAAACTCACTGAGAACAGAGTTAAAATATTCACGACCATTATCAGTTCTTAATATTTGAATTTTTGTTTGAAACTGATTTTGGATCATGGAGTGAAATTCTTTGAAAATACGTGCAGTTTCAGATTTTTCTTTTAAGAGAGAGACCCAACAAATTCTGGTGTGATCATCAATGAAGGTTACAAACCATTTTTTACTAGTAAAAGTTGTTACTTTAGAAGGCCCCCAAATATCACTATGAATGATGGAAAAAGGTTTTGATGATTTATACGGTTGAGATGGAAAAAAAGTACGATGATGTTTAGCAAGTTGACATATTTCACATTGAAATAAGGCTGGATTTTTATTCTTGAATAATGAAGGAAATAGGTTTTTTAAATAGGAAAAACTAGGGTGGCCAAGTCTACGATGCCACAATATTATTTCTTTTTCTCCAGATAAAGAAAGAACTTCACTCTCACAGCTTGTTTTTTGAGCTTGTCCACTCACGACTATGTCCTCATCAAAGTAATAGAGCCCTTCACATTCCCAAGCACTGCCAATCGTCCTCCCCGAAGACAGTTCCTGAAATTCACACAAGGAATTAGAGAATTTAGCAATACAGTCTAGATCCTTAGTCAGTTTGCTAATAGACAAAAGATTACATGAAAGATTAGGAACATGAAGAACAGATTTGAGGGTTAGACTCTTTGAAATTGGAATTGAGCCTTTTCCTGCAACGGAAGATAATGAACCATCCTGAATCAATGATCCAGGGTTCCTTTTTGTTGACACTTAAAGCAATTTTAAAACTACCTTTTTGGGCTAAGAAAGACGAAGGATTGCTGGAATTTGTGCTAAACTGGTTAAGGAGTTTGATCAGCTGCTCCATTTGGTCCTTGTTGAGAGATAAGGCACCGGAGCTATGGCTCCATGTATTTTCCAGCATGTTTCTCGGGTATGACCTGATTTGCGGCAATGGTCACACCATGGTCTGCCTTTCCGAGGATGATTGTCATAGTTTGAGGGACTGGAGTTTTGGGTAACCAAGGCTGATCCTTCTGTTGAAGCAGGTTGATTTTGGCTACCCATCATCACCTTTTTTCTGCTTTCCTCACGTTGAACTTCTGAGAATACTTCACGGATGCTTGGTCGAGGTTTAATACCGAGGACTCTTCCCCTTCATCAAGGTCTTTATTAAGACCCAACAGAAACTTATAGATTCGTTCTTTCTCGACAATCTTTCTATATTTTTCTGCATCTCCGGGAGTATCCCATACAGAGGTCTCGAACATATCTAGTTGCTGCCAATGACGAGTGAGTATATTGAAATATTCGGTAACAGACATCTCACCTTGTCGTAGATCATGAAGGATACCCTTAATTTCAATCAGTTCTGATGTATTTTCATTATCAGAATAAGTCTCTCTTGCTGCATCCCACATCTCCTTTGCTGTTGCATAGAACATGAAGTTTTCTCCCACCTCTGTAGTCATGGAATTAACCAACCATGACATAACCATCATGTTCTCAGCTTTCCAAGTTTTGAATTTTAGATCTTCTTTCGCTGGAGCAGTAATCGCTCCGGTGAGATAGTCGTCCTTTCCTTTGCCACAAACGTACATCATGACGGATTGAGACCATTGTGGGAAATTGTTTCCGTTCAGTTTGTGCCCAGTAATTGGTAAGACTGAGCCTTCGGATCCTCCGACATGGCTGAGGATGTTTTTTTCTTGAGTAGATGTCATATCAAAGCAAGAGCTTTATTTCTGCTCTGATACCATAATGATGATAGGTGAATACTCCGAGAGAAAGAGAGGAAGAAATTCTCTTATTGCATATTTAGAAATTGTACAGAAACAATACATAAATAGGAAAATTTGGAGGCTACAGACCAGCTACTCAATTTCCTAAATTGATGGAATAAAACAAGCAACAAATAAATAGGAATTAAACTAGGCTAGTCGACACACAAAGAATCAAATCAACATTAAATATGAAAAACAATCAGCTAGCATTTACACCCTAAGATTAGGGTGCCAGCTATTCATGGATAAATCCATGTCTCCACTACGTATTGAGAAAAAAGAAAGAATTCTCAACAAAAACCTTAATGACAAACTTGTGCCTTCTAGTGTCGCTTCCATTCTCACTCTACTGCGACAACAAGTCTGCCATTAGCATAGCAGCAAATCCCGTTCAACATGACAGGACTAAGCATATAGAGGTGGACCGTCACTTCATTCGAGAGAAGATTATCTCTGGTCAAATTTGCACTCCATTTTTCACAAGCTCTCAGCAGCTTGCAAACATTCTTACAAAGGGCGTCAGCAAGATTGTGTTTGAGAATGCATTGTCCAAGTTGGGCGTTTCAGATATCCAGGCACTAACTTGAGGGGGAGTGTTAGCATATATGATATCCACGATTTATGGAATAACTTACCATATTAACAAAGATTTGATTATGCTATAGAATATGCCATAGAATATGCTTTAGAATATGTTGTGGTTTAATTTAGATTTGATTTAGCTTCCTTTCTTGTAATATGAGCATGTGCTCTTTTTATCTATAAATACTAGAGATGTGAATGAGTGATTCATCTCATTCAAGTCTTTACATAATTTTCTTCTTTTTATATTTCTACTGAAACAACATCAGAAATATTTTCCTCCACTAATTCCTCCATTAAATCTTCAATAAACCCTAAAGCATCATCTTCTACATAAGACTCTCTATATATATAGATATATACACTCTAGTCTCACTTACATTCTCTCTCTAAGAGTCCCACAAGTCTAGGCTTAGAGATCTCAAAAATGGGTCATAGAAGTGATATCTTTGGACATTGAAGGTTGGCGGAGCAAGGAAGAAGAAGGTGGTGTAAGGAAGAGGAGATCTGGCAAGGAAGGCTTGGAGATCCTACGATTTGCAAGTGGGTTTGAAGATTGGAAGAAGGGACTGGACATAATCCCTTGAGGTATTGGTCTCTACATCCTTTGTATGTCGCTCTACATATCATTCATACTAATTTTATAAAATGGTTATAGTCTCTACACATCTCAAGTCTTACATGCTTCCCAAGAAATTTTGGAAACCCATTCCTACAAAAACAACTCTAAAATAAAAACCTAATTAGACTAAGAATTTGAGAAACATGTTGCAATGGCAATTAAATACGATACTGGTGATAATTCTAGTTGTGATTTTGATAAAGAAATTGCTTTACTTGCTAGGAAGTTTAAAAGGTTTCTGAAAAATAAATACAGCAAGAAAGGTAAATCTACAAAGAAATTTGAACCTAGGAAGGACAAAAGTAAAAGAAATTGATAAGAATTAGTGTGCTGGAATGTGGCTAAAGAGGTCACTTTCTAGGAGACTGTCATAAGAAACCTAGAGAAGATTTAAAAGATGAAAAGAAGAAGAAAGCTAAAGCTAGGGCAATGAAAACAACACTTTTTGACGTCTTCACAATAGTTAAGATGGTTTCATAACATAAGAGTGTTTAACGTAAATAATTTTTTTTTCAGGTATTAATGTAACAAAGATAATATAAAAAGTGATTTTTAAGTACAATAATATCATAAAATGAACTGTTGGATATGTTTGTTAGGTGCGTAACAACCAGGCATTGATTTGGACAAATATACCGTATCTATGTCTCAGTAGTCATATGTCTAGCATGGATATTTCAAGCATTTTTTAAGAGTCTATGTAACGTAGGAGTGGATATGGAGAAAGCATATGGCTTTAATTATCTTTGTCAAGTTGAAAAAATCCCAGTTATAAGCAGTTAAGACTAGATAGTAAAATTTCAGTGAGTAAAGGAATAATACACTAAAAACAATCGGGAGAAAAGGAATGAATGAGAGAGAGAAAGGATAATGGTGATACCTTCTTAGTTCTTCTGGCAAGCGCCGATGGCTCATCCACTGCTCAACATCACGGCGCCTTAGTGACCGTTCCAACCTTCTGAAAGAGTAATAATTGATCAGAATTTTAATTTCCTTATGCTTTTCCCTAATTCAAACCACCTTAACCATTGGAAAGACAAGCTGTAGGCAAGGTAATAAAAAATCTGGATTTATTTATTACAGACATAATTTATTCACTACAACAAAGCCATAAAATTCACAAGGGTTCTTGTCTTACAGACAATCATGGAGATATTATGCTTGTCAGATATGGTAGGCTTCACTATCAAGTTGCAATATGCAGTCGCTTATAGTTAAATAACATGGATTTTGTAGAAGGGCGGTTGGAGATTAAATATGAATTCCTTACTAAAAGATGACCATGCTGGGAAAACTTAAAGGAATGCTAGCTTTAATACCAAGGAAAAGAAAGATCTTGAAATTGGTTGGGATATTTTTATAAACAAAAGAGGAAAAAGTTATAAACAGCAAGTGGGAAAAACATAATATAGATTATATTGCTTATTTCTTTTCATTTGGCCATGGCTTTCCATGAAACTTGAAATCTGTTGTTTTGGTATTACCTACCATCTTTTTTAAAGTTTTGTGCATTAATATTAGTAACTGAATGGAACCTATCACTTCCATTTGCAATATAGGGTTTTTCTGCCCTGACTACTCATTTTTCCCGCAAACTTCTTCTATTCATTGGTCAATTTGGTTTACATACTTAATGCACAGTTTCTGCAAATACCTTTTCTCCAATAAAATTTAGCTTGAATTCCTTGTATGTCATTTACTACCCTCAAATTGTTAGATGAGCCAAAGTACTTGTTAGCAGAGATGTGGTAGCCACAAATTATGGAATAACTTACCATATTAGCAGAGATTTGATAGCCACAAATCATGGAGTTTAACTTTATTTACACATTTGTCTAGCCATAGAATATGCTGTGATTTGATTTAATTTCCTTTCTTGTAATATGAGCATGTGCTCTTTTTATCTATAAATACTAGAGTTGTGAATGAGTGATTTAATCTAATTCAAACATTTTACATATTTCTCTTCTCTTTCTTCTATATTGTATTTCTTCTTGATATCAGAGCCAGGGTGGTCGACTGCAATGAAGGCATTGCAAGTTCGGCATCACCCATTCGATAATGGTCTAAGGAGAGGTGTCGAGTAAGCAAGGCGGTCCAACCTCAATGAGAACATTGCGAGTTCGGGACCACCCATTCGGAAATGGTCTAAGGGGACATGGTTGCTTTTTTTTTCTTTTTCTATAGTCTGAGGAAACATTTTTTATTCTTCCATCTACATTGTTTAATATATGTATGAAGGGGAATGGTTTCAGGAGACATTGTTGATTCTTCTATCTACAAAATTTAAAAAATGTGTATGAAGGAAAATGGTCTGAGGAGACATTGTTGGTTGTTTACGGTCTAAGGAGACATGGTTGGTTGTTTATGGTCTGAGGAAACATTTTTTATTTTGCACTTCTCATCTTGTAGAAATTCTTACAAAGGGCATCAGCAAGATTATGTTTTGAGGATGCATTGTCCAAGTTGGGTGTCTCAGATATCCACACACCAACTTGAAGAGGAGTGTTAGTAGAGATGTGGTAGCCACAAATTATGGAATATCTTTCCATATTAGCAGAGATTTGATAGCCACAAATCATAGAGTTTGACTTTATTTACGCATATGTCTAGCCATAGAATATGATGTGATTTGATTTAATTTTTTTTCCTGTAATATGAACATGTGCTCCTTTTATCTATAAATACTAGAGTTGTGAATGAGTGATTTAATCTCATTCAAACCTTTTACATATTTCTCTTCTCTTTCTTCTATATTGTATTTCTTCTATAGTACTGGTAAATTGTAATATAACTTAAACTGGTGATATAGTTGGCTATATCTCTTCTCAGATCTAGCCCCAAGTCTTAAACCAAATCACATGTCAATACCTTATTCCAACTAGCTGGGGATGGCAAATGTAGCCTCAATTTATTCTAAAGCCTTACCCTCAATTTTGATCATGTCTCTCTTACTACATAGTGCAATTGTTGTTCTTCATTGCATATAGCCGAACTATCTCAAGCGACATTCTCTAGTTTTATCTTCACTGGATGCTACTTTAACAATGTTATGAATGCATGCACTACTCATTTTATGCTTTCCTTTTTTACCAATCATCAATCTTGTTGTAAATAATAAGTGATAAGTGAAGAGAGAAATGGAACAGGAAGAACACACAGCTATTACGTGGTTCAGCCACTAAAGCCTACATTCACAGCACGAAGAGCCCGCAGGACTACATATCTTTCATTATAATCTCTGTTTTCATACACAACACAATGGTGGAGGCTCCTTTATATAGGAGAAGAAATGACGAGGATAGGAAAAGATAGAAGATAGGAAACAATGAGGATTTTTCTCTACTGATTTGTTAAAATATATAAATATTTCTATATAATTGTGGAGCAAAATCCTCCACCAATCATGGTGATCCGGTCAATTTCCTTCCAATTATAAATATTTCTATATAACGGTGGAGCAAAATCCTCCACCAATCATACTGCCTCCTTTGACTATTGTACACCTTCCATATATTCTTATATTTACTATGCCTATATATAGGCTCCTTGTAATCAAGGAATATATAGATCTAAATAATAAAAATGTAGCCCTTAGTGGCTCTTTGTCCATAGCTGTAGGCCTTAGTGCCGAACCATGTATATGCCTGTGTTTTCTCTCTTCCTTTTTCCTACTTGCATTTCTTATTTCCGCATCTAATTTTAACATGGTATCAGAGTCTAGATGTTCTTGTAATCTCATCTAAAATTTGAGGGGGAGTATTGGTATTATTATCATAAAAGCATATTCTGCATGTCTTCACATTCCTTTCCCTTCCGGTCCGTTTTTTGGATGGTTCAGCACCTCGGCATTCCCCGATGTTGTTCCAGCCCATTTCTCGGCGTTGTTCCGGCCATTTCCCAGCTTAGTTCTGGTCTTTTCCCGGCATTGTTCCGGTCTTTTCCCGGCAATGTTCCAGTCTTTTCCCGGCTTAGTTCCGGCCATTTTCCCCGGCGAGTTCCAGTTTGTTCCGGACACCTTTTCATCATCTTTCAAGGCGTTTCTTTAGCAAGTTGGGCATTCATGATATTCATGCTCCAACTTGAGGGGGAGTGTTGAAATATATAAATATTTCTATATAATTGTGGAGCAAAATCCTCCACCAATCATAGTGTCCAGTCAATTTCCTTCCAATTATAAATATTTCTATATAACGGTAGAGCAAAATCCTCCACCAATCATGCTGCCTCCTTTGACTATTGTACACCTTTAATATATTCTTATCTTTACTATGCCTATATATAGGCTCCTTGTAATCAAGCAATATATAGATCTGAATAATAAAAATGTAGCCTTTAGTCGCTCTTCTCCATAGGCCTTAGTGCTGAACCATGTATATGCCTGTGTTTTCTCTCTTCCCTTTTCCTATTTGCATTTCTTATTTCCGTATCTAATTTTAACATGATTCCTCCAGTAACAATAAATCTTCAACAATTATAGGAAACAACATCAATTACCAAAAAAATTTCCTCAACTGATTCCTCCATAAAATCTTCAATACTCCCCCTCAAGTTGGAGAAAGAATGCCCAACTTGCCATTAAGATGACGACTAGTAGTAAGCGTGAATGATGAAGCGAGAAGAGAGAAGGCAAAGAATATTGCTACCAAACACATCGGCAGCCAAAACAAGTAAAAAAAAAACAGTCGAAGACACGGAAAAGGCGAAGAACAATGCTATTGAACACATCGGCAGCCCAAACAAGTCAATAAAAACTGTCGGAGACACGACAAAGGCGAAGACAATACTATTGAACACACCGGCAGCCCAAACAAGTCAATAAAAACTGCTGGAGACACGACAAAGGCGAAGACAATGCTACCGAATACATTGGCAGCCCAAACAAGTCAATAAACTTTCGAAGACACAGCGGAGGGGAAGAACAATGCTATTGAACATACCAGCACCCCAAACAAATCATAAATAACATCGAGAAACCCTTACCAACATTTCAGATGCTAAGAGAATACCCCAAAAAGGGGTCCTTAGAACCTAGGAAGAGAAATTAGGCTCTGATACCATGTTGTAAATAATAAAAGATAAGTGAAGAGAGAAATGAAACAGGAAGAACACACAGCTATTACGTGGTTCAGCCACTGGGGCCTACATCCACGTCACAAAGAGCCCAAAAGACTACATATTTTTCATTATAATCTCTCTTTTCATACACAATACAATGGTAGAGGCTCCTTTATAAGGAGAAGAAATTATGAGAACGGAAAAAGATAGAAAATAGGAAACAAGGAGGATTTTTCTCCACTGATTCCTATAGTAACAGTAAATCTTAAATAATAGGAAACATTAATTACTAGAGGATTTTCATCCACTCATTCCTCCATTATATCTTCAATGAAACTCAACATCTGCATTTCGGCCATGCTTATTTTATTATCTTAGTCATAAATAATGCAAATTATAACAATTTATTTTGAAAAAATTATCTTTCTAATTTAGATGTATTCAAGAAGCACTTTTCTAATAACTCCTCCTTTAATTCTATGAGTAACGTCATCTCGCAACATCATCTCGCACATCTCCCTCTCTGTGAATAGTTTATCCTTTGTACAAAAATTATTCACTTTGCTGGATCTTTAGATTCCCAATCTTCACCGTATCCTAACTTACTTGATAAAGTTATATATCGCATATTCAATTTTGGACCTTCTCAATTCTAGAGATTCTCTAAACCCCAAATCTGGCAATTATCCGTCCTTTACATAATCAATCAAAATAATGTCATTGGCAAATAGCATAATATATAAAAACTCGGTATCATAAATGGGTTTGTTAGGTCATCCATAATAATCACATACATCTAGCACCAAGTATTGCCACTATTATAGTCAACCAGTTCTACACTTGGTATTCTTTCTCTTTCCAAAATTATCCCATCACAGATTTACATTTTATGACATATGT